GCCCGCATGTTGCCGCAGGATCGGGAACGGCGAGATCAGCTGGATGTCGAGACTCGATTCGAAGCTGAATACCAGGCCGTGCTCGATGCGCGGATCGGGCGGCGCGTTCGTTTCCACGATGTGTCTTGGACGATTCCATATAATCACCCTGTTCCGACTCAGGATGAGTTGACCGTGATCGACCAAGTTGCGAGATTTGGCACGGCCATTTATGTTGGCGGGACGCAGTTTGTCCCGAGGCGTTGGATGGGGGACGAGAGCGATCAGAGGAGACCCATGCGGGGCCATTGCAATGATTACCGAGGAATGGTCATCATTGGGGCGAGACTTGGCCCATGCGGCCCCTCTGGGGCGCCCGAAGGCGCGCCCCCTTGAACGGGGGGAGGGGGGCGATAAATAAGTAGGAGGGGGGAGGAGGAGGGGAAGGAGGAGGAGGAGGGGGGAAAGGGGGAGGAGCAGGGGGCTGAGGAGGCGGGGAGTAAGAGCTGGATGAACACGCGGTAGAGAAGAGCAGATTGCGTGGATGTCTCGAGCAGAGTGGAGCGCGCACTCGGGCGCCCCTGCCCAGCCGTTGAGGAAGCGTTGATCGACTACGCTTGTCGCAATTATGCTCGGATGGTCGATAACATAGCTGAGGATTCGCGGGGCCTCAGTGGGCGGCCAGGGGTGATCAACTACCTTTATATATGTTGGTCTTAGAAAATGATAAGTCCAGCTCCCCATGCTTCTTTGTCTCCATGCGCCCCCTCCCTATATTTCTATATCTTCCCTATCTCTCTGCCTCTTCTCTCTCACTATCTCTCTCTCTCTCTCTCTCGCTCTCCCTCTCGCTCTCTCTCTCTTGCTCTGTCTCTCCTCTCGCTCTCTCTCTAATTGCCTCTCCTCCTCCTCCTCCACATCGAGCTTTGTCTCTGTCTTGATCTTTCCGGCTCTCGGGCGTTCAGCTCCCCGCCGCTTTGCCTGCGCATCTCGGCCCCTCGAGCTCTCGGCCCAATCACCTCGACGCGTGCTCCCCCGAGCAGGATCGATCCGCGAATGTCTGGTGGGGGCCCTGGCCGGGAACAGAGGGGGGCATCCGCGCCAAGAGTGGCAGCCCTCGGGATGCAGCGCAGAAGACGGAGGAGAAGGAGGGGGAGGAGGCAGGCAGGGAAAGGAAGAGGAATAGGAGAGGAATAAGGAGGAGGGAGGAGGGGGAGGCAGGGGGAGGAATAAGGCAGGTCGGAGCGTTTCCTGCATCAGACACACGCATGCTTCCAAATTCATTGACATCGGTCGTGCGGTCCACGGCCCGACGCCTGTACACGAACGCAGCTGTGGGAGGGAGGTGGCGCGGCAGGAGGGGCAGGGAGTGTTCTCCCCTCGCACCTGCTGCTGGCTAGACGCGGCTCGGAAAACTGGCGAGTGCCCTCGCCCGCCGTCCCCCAGTTGCCGCGATCCCCATCCCCCCCCCCTCATATGCCCGAATAGCCGCGGATTGAAGCCCCGTGGGTAGGGGGGGAGGGCAGCTCGTCTGCGGTGAGAGCAGCGTGGCCTGATCGGCGCGGGGGGCACGGGGCCTCGGAGGGGGCGAACCCGCGGGGGGACAGCCGCCTCCAGTGCAGGAGCTCCAGCAGGGAGAGGGGGGGGGGGGGGGGGGGGGGGGGGGGGGGGGGGGGGGGGGGGGGGCGCGAGCCCGCTGCCATGACGATGGGAGGGCGGAGGGACGGGGAAGGACGAGGAGCCGGAGAAGGAGGGATAGGGGGTACAGGAGGAAGTGCAGGGTAGGAGAGAAGAGGAGGAGACTGAGGAGGAGAACGAGGAGGAGGAGGAGGAGGAGGAGGAGGAGGAGGAAGATGAGGAAGGAAGGAATGAAGGAAGGAAGGAAGAAGGAGGAAGGAGGGGGAAGGGGGAGGAGGGAGGAAGTAAGGTGGTAATACGTAGTTCTTCCCGACTCGCTGATGCAGGCCCCCCCTTGCCCCTATGGCTGGGCGCGGCTCAAAAAACAACTGGTCGCCGCCACGGCTGGACGCGGCTCGAAAAACTGGCACCCGCTAATCATTTCCGCCCTTGCTGCGCTCTTCGCCCCTTCCGACGCCCGCCGCCCCCCGCCGCCGGAGCCAGCCAGGCTCGCAAAGAGACCACGAGCAAAAGCAAAGAAACTACTTCGGCGGCAAGGCGCCCGCCGGCGGGCTGCTGGTGGCCTTGTTGCCAGGCCGGCCGGCTGATCGATCGAACTACTTTGCGAATGATGGCGAACCTCCACCCTGCCCTCTAAAGCCCCACTTCTCTCCTCCGCCCCTGCCGCTCCAGCAGCTCCTTCCCGTACTCCTCCTCCTCACCACCCTCCTCCTCCTCCCCCCTCTTGCCCAGCTCCTCCCCCCCCCTTCCCCTCCCTCTCTTCCTCGCATCCTTGTCCACCTTCCCCTTCCTACTTCTCCCCCTCCTCCTCCTCCTCCTCCTCCTCCTCCTCCTCCTCCTCCCCCTTCTCCTCCCCCTTCTCCTCCACCTCTCCTTCTGCCCATTATCCTCCTACTCCTCCTTCTCATCCTCCTCTCGCCAGCCCATCAAGCTAGCAGAGCTTCGTCCTGTCCTCGTCATAGATGCTGAAATCCTTGATGAAGGCATCGTCGTTCACCCACCCCTTGAGCTTCGGGTGGTCCTGCGGCCGGCCGGCGCGGGGGGGCCGCGGGGGAGGCAAGAAGAGGGGCGGGCAGGGGCGCAAGGAGGAATAGGACGAGAGGGAGGCACGAGGAGGGAGGGGGGATGGCGAGGAGGGCGAGGAGGAGGACGTCGAGGAGGAGGAGGGGGGGGGGGGGGCGAGAGCGCGAGACGGGGAGCGAGAGAGGTAAAGAAGGGGCGAGAGTGAGAGAGGGAGAGTGAGAGAGAAAGAAAGAGAAACATATTATCCCAGTGCGACCTTACCTAGGCGTTGGAGCCCCTAGGGAAGCTAAGCGGAGCTAAGCTGAGCTGAGCTACGCTAAGCTAAGCTAAAGCTAAGCTAAAAGAAGCTAAGCTAAGCTAAGCTAAAATAAGCTATGCTAAGCTAAGGCAAGCTAAGCTAAGCTAAGCTAAACTAAAGATGAGGTAAGCTGTGCTGAAGCTAAAGCTAAAGCTAAGCTAAGCTAAGCTAAACTAAGCTGAGCTAAGCTAAGTGAAGCTAAGGTAGGCTAAGCTAAGCTAAGCTAAGCTAAGCTAAGCGAAGCTAAGCTAAGCTAAAGCAAAGCTACGCTAAAGCAAAGCTAAACTACGCTAAGCTAAGTAAAGCAAAGCTAAGCTAATCTAACACTAAAATCGCCGGCCCAACGGGCCAGAGGCGTGCTAAGATCTCCGGTAACTGGTTAACAATTTTCTAGTTCGCGCGCGCGGGGCGGCCCCTGGGGGTCCCCGGACGAAAAGTACCCCGACCAGGTCCCGGCCGGTCCCCGGCCGGTCCCCCCGGGTCCCGGCCGGGTCCCGGCCGGGTCCCGGCCGGGTCCCGGCCGGGTCCCCCCGAGCGCTCCATGAGCGCACCAACAGGGCTCCGAGACGTCCCCGAGAGCCCCAAGAAAGGCCAAGAGGCCCCCAAGAGGCCCCCAAGATGGTACACGAGGGGTCCGACATGCCACAAGATCGCTCCAAGACGCCCAAGATAGCCCCCAGACGCCCCAAGAGGCCTCCAAGAGCACTCCCAATAGGGCCCCCGGAGGCAAAAATCATTGTTTTTCCATAGGTTTTTGAGAGATTTTGGAGCTTCCACCTTTTCGGCTTCCCGACGCCCCAAGACGGCCCAAGAGGCCCCCAAGATCGCCCCAAGAGGGCCCAAGAGGCACCCAAGAGGGCCCCAAGATGGCCCAAGAGGGCTCGAAGACGGCCCAAGAAGCCTCCAAAACGGTCCAAGAGGGCCCCAAGAACGCCCCCAAAGGGGCCCCAGAGAGGGAACACGAAACAACATTTCGAGCCCTCGGCCCTAAGAAGCCCCTACGAGGCCCCTAAGAGGCCCCAAGAGGCCCCCACGGGGCCCTCAGGAGGCCCCCGAGAGTCCCCCAAGCGGCCCCAGGAGGCCCCCCAAATGCCCCCCCGAGCGCCCCAGGAGTCCCCCAAGCGGCCCCAGGAACCCCCAAAGCGCCGCATTGACACCAGGCCCTCGGGCAAACGGCAGACATGAGACTGCATGGGCCGGCGGAATGAGCGAAGCGATTAAATAAGAAGCTAAGCTAAGCTAAGCTAAGCTAAGCTAAACTAAGCTGAGCTGAGCTTGGCTAAGGTAAGGTAAGGTAAGCTAAGCTAAGCTAAGCTAAGCTAAGCTATAAGCTAAGCCAAGGTAAGCTCAGCTTAGATGGAGCGCACCCGGGGGAACCGATGGGGGGGGGGGGGGGGGGCGCAACCGGGGGAGCCGCCCGGGGCGGTTAGCACCGCCCGGCCTCTTTAAGCTAACCGAGTAAGAACTTTCTAGGCAGAGCCTAGGTAGGGAATAAAAGAAGGAGAGGGAGAGGGAAAGCGACAGAGAGAGATAGAGAAAGAGGGATACAAAAGGGAAAGAGAGAGAGAGAGAGAGAGAGGGGAGCGGAGTGGAGCATATCACGAAAGAGCAGATCACGAGAAGAGAGAGCAGAGAGAGAGAGAGAGAGAGAGAGAGAGAGAGGAGAGAAAGAAAAGAAGAGAGAGAGAGAGAGGGAGAGAGAGAGAGAGAGAGAGAGAGAGAGAGGGCATGACAAACATAGAGGAGGGGATGTGGAGGAGGAGGAGGAGGTGGCGAGAGTTCCGAGGCAATTAGAGAGAGAGCGAGAGGAGAGACAGAGCAAGAGAGAGCGAGAGGGAGAGCGAGAGAGAGAGAGAGAGAGAGAGAGAGGGAGAAAAAGAGAGATATATATATATATAGAGAGAGAGGGAGAAAAAGAGAGAGATATAGAGAGAGAGAGAGAGAGAGAGAAGCAGGGGGTCGGAGAGGAGGGCGGAGAAGGAGGAGAGGGCCGGGGGGCAGGCGGCGGGGGAGGAGAAGAGGGAGGAGGAGCGGGGCGGTCCTTGAGCTCCGACCTGGCCACCAGCGCCACCACGTTGTTACGCTTCTCCTTGCGCACGGCGTGGAAGAGCACGGGGGTGTTGCCTGGGATGATCTTCCATTTGCCCAGCGGCACGCTCGTGGCCATGCGCTGCACCATGGATGCCAGCGCCGGACGATCCTTCTTGAACTCGGGCGAGATCCACAGGTGAACGGGCTTGTACACCGCAGGCCTGTACTTAATGACAACGCCCTGCGCCGCCTTGCCCAGGCGGTCCAACGTCTTCGGTGCCATCACCCAGCCACCGCGGAGGATGGCGGCGACCATGGCCCTGCGAGAGACGTCAGTAGGATTCGCGACGATGAATATGTCGGCCATCTGCCGCTCAGAGACCACCGTCGCGCCCATGCGAGTGACCTTCGCATTGGCCCCCGCGGCCTCCTCGCGAACCTGGGGCAGGGCGAGGAATGCAATGAGAAAGGCCACGAGGGGGCGGGGGGCGAAGAGGGCAAGGCCCCCCCCCTCATCCTCCTGGGGCCTTGCCCCGCCTTCGTCACCCTCCCCTGCCGTCCTCGCCCCCCCCCGCACACGGTGGCGGCGGTGGTGGCGGTGGTGGGGGTGGGGGGCGTTGGGGCGCAGACAATTTATCGGATGGCACCGTGTCGTCGATGTACACTTTCCGATTGGCGAACGTCTCCCTCGTGATGTGGATGGTCGCGGTGGCCTTGGCCTTCTCCCTGTTCTTCATAGTGTTGATGAGCTCCCGATCAGCTTTCTTCTGCAAGGCTTGGCGCTCCACCTGGCTCTCGAGGAGTTTATCGTCGACGTCGGTGGCGAGCAAGTTGCCGCGGTTCAGCGCGTCCACTTTGAGCCTCTGCCGCTTGTCCTTCTGGAACTTCAACTCGGACGTCTGCTTCTCGCTCAGCGTGCCAGCGTGCTTCCTCTTGAGCGCCTGCATGTCGACCTCCGTTCCTTTCGCTGCATGTTTTACAGATTTCCTCCTCGCCTTCAGCCACTTTTTCTCGGTCTTGCCCTGATTGCCCTTGCTTCGGCCCGTGCGCCGGACGCCCTTCTGCAACAAAGGCTGCGTCGCCGGCGAACGGCTTTTCCCGATCACTTGCACGTACAACTCCTGGGCGCGGCCGATCAGCTTGCCCATGTCGTCCGGCTTCTCATGGATTATCTTGCAGTAGGTGTTCTCCAGCGGCTCCCCCATGTGGAGCTGGCAGTTCTGGATGCACTTCCGCGACGTGCTGAAGCCCTGCTCTACGCCAGCCGTGGTTGCGAGATACGTCCTCCACTCTGCCAGGCAATGCGCCATCTCGTTCATCGGGTGCGTCGCGCGGTTCTGCGGGTCCTGAAGAATTCTGGACACTGCCCCGAGCCAAGCGGTCGCGGAGTCCTTTCTATCTTGGTACAGGTTCTTGGCGATGGGCCGAAGGTAGGCGCACTGCTCGATGAGTTGCTGCGCATCCAACTTGAAGGTGGCCGCCAAGCGCTCGAGCATGACCACCGAACCGCGCCCGGGCTCGCCTGGGAAGGCGCCCGAAAAAGAGGGGGAGGAGGAGGAGGAGGAGGAGGGAGGAGGAGGAGGAGGACGGGGGGGGGGGAGGAGGGAGGAGGAGGAGGAGGCGGAGGAGAAGGAGAGGGGGAAGAGGAGGAGAAGGAAGAGGAGGAGGAGGAGGAGGACGTTAGAGGACTAGAGGTTGGGAGGGTCTAGTAGGTTATAAATGTTTGCAGCGCCACCAGCCCGCCCCCGGGGCCCCGCCAGGAGTGGACTTTTCGACGCAGCGGCGGGATCCGCCTCGAAATTCCGTCAGCTACGAAATTATGGAACACTTGTCGGGCTGACCAGGCGCTGGTCTTTTCGAGCGCGCCCGGGTCGCGTGTAAGATCGAAGACCCCCAGGGCCAGTGCGACGTCGAACGAGGGGAACTCAGTCTGTATAATCTCGTCCCAAACAATGAGCCACCGCTGCATTTTGTCTAGACACCTCGAAATCATATTCTGAGGTGTCTTTCCAGGACCCCCCAGCGAGATCATCTTTCCGCCGACCGTGACGCCCCGCGGCTGGGCCAAGATTTTCAAGCCTGCTTTGGTATGGCCCTCGACTGTCAGGCAGCCCTGGCTGGGCCCGAACAGGAAGTACACGTGCTGCTTCAGCAACTGCACCTCGGGGGCGGGCGCCGACAGGAGGAGGGGGGATGGAGGGGAGGGGGGAGGGGTGGAGCGGGAGAAGGGGGGGTGGAGGTGTGGGAGAGGTAGGGAGGGAGGGAGGATGGAGGAGAAAGGGAGGAGGGGCAGGAAGGAGCGGGGGGGGGAAGGAGGGGGAGAAGGAGAAAGCGAGGGACATCCATCATCTCGTCGCGGGGGAAGTTGAACCCGCTTGCGGCCCGCCGGCGGGCCCCCCCCTGCCACCGCCCTCTTTCATCGCCCGACCTCCGTGCAGTTCCACGCTTTCTGAAGCGAGGGGATGTTCGTGGCTTTCGGGCGGGGGGGAGGGGGTCTCGGTGTTTCTTGCCGAGGCCGACGACGGCGGAGAGCGAGGCCAGCGTGCTCATGCCCCAGGGCGGGGCTTGGTCGAATGAAAGAGACGGGCGGCGATCAAGAAGAAGGATCGCCGTCGACGGAGGAAGAGAAGACGGGGAGGCAGAGGAGAGGAGGACCCTCTGTCAGCGCCCCCCCAGGAGAAAAAGAAGACACGACGACCGCCACGACGGCCAGGCCGCCGGCGCCGGCAGCCGCGGGGGGGGGGTGCGGCCAGCCGCGGGGACCTCGCGCGCCGTGTTCTCGGTCTTCATGTCCTCGTTATCGGTGAATCTCAACAAGCCCATGTTCTCGCCCCCTGCGTCGGCCATCATGCACGCGAGGATGTACCTCGCCAGGGGGCGGGGGGGGGGGCGCTGGGGCAGGTTTCTGGGTTGAGGCATGAGGTTTCTCAGTTGCTCGAGGCCCTCCCTCCTCCTCCATTCTTTGCTCGCCCGCGGCCTCAACGTATGCAGTCAACCGCGTTCCTCCTCCCTCTTCCCCCCCTCGCCCTCTTCCTCCCCCCCTCCTCTCCCCCCCCCTCCTCCACGCTCCCCCCGCTGCCGGGAGGGCGCCCGGGTGCCCGGGGGCGCCCGGGGATCCCCCATAGCTTTATAGCCTTTCAGCCCAAATAGCCCTATAGCTAGATAGCCCTATAGCCCTGAAGCCCTCTAGCCTTATAGCACAATTTCACAATAGCCCTATAACCATCTAGCTATGACCCAATATCCTAATAGCCCATATAGCCCATATAGCCTATATAGCCCATATAGCCCTATAGCCTTATAGTACTATAGCCCTAGCCTCCGCCACCGCGCCTCTGGGCACGGAGTGGGCGCGTCATCAGGTCGCGCGCCTCATCCCCTGAGCCTCAGTCCTCAATCCTGAGGAGACTTTAAGGGACCAGGACCCAAATTTCAAAAACCCTCTCGGGACGC